GAAAGGATTAATACTGTCAGGAGGGGTGATTAATCCCGATTAAGAAGGGAAAATTGCCTTGCTTCTCCACAATGGAGGTGCGAATGATCACGTGGGGAGTGTAGGAGATCCTTTAGGGCGTCTCTTGGTGCCACCATGCCCCATCATTAAAGTCAATGGGAAACTACAACAGCCTAATTCACACAGGATTCACAGGATTAGGGCACAGACACATCAGGAATGAAGGGATGAGTCTCTCCTCCAGGAAAAGAGCAAAGACCTGCTGTGGTTCTTGCCCAGGGGGGAGGAACTAGGAAATACAGAATGGGTAGTAGAGAAACATGACAAGTTGTAAACAACAGATTCTAATTGGTGTGCTTCTGTTGTACTTTGTTAAGAATGCGTTTACACAGATATTTCTTTTCTTCCTTCAATCTCTTTATCATGTGCTATAACTTCAATTAAGAGAACATCAATGGTTATCATATTTAAGTCTGAGATACTGAACGAGTGTTTCTCAAGGGACATTGCCACCTATTTTAAATCTATAATGCATTTGCAGTTGTATGAGGGATAGTTCTATCACGTTAAGCATAATTGTGGCCTGGTCAAATACATAATGCATTTGCAATTTGTGTGTGGGACGGTTATATCATGCTAGCAATAATTATAAACTGGTTATCATTTTCACTCAGAAAATAAGCATGATATAAGGCGATATGATTGTGTATCAAGATGGCAAGACGAGGAGTTGGGATGGGTCTCCTTGACTGTCAAGTTGACTATATCTGGAATTATCTATAGTCCACACTGCTGGGTGAACCTGTATAGGACTTTTTCTTAATTGGATCATTTGAAGTGAGATGAGCCACTTTTGATCCAAATCTTTTGAGGTGGAAGGTCCACGTTTAGTCTGTACCACACTTTCTGCTGGCAGCCTATATAAGGACACGGAAGATGGAGGGCTCCCCCTTTGCCTGCTTGCTGCTGCCCCTGCTGTCAAGTCCATTCCTTCACTGGCATTAGAACCTGCTTCTTCTGGGTTCTGGCACAATGAAGACCAGCTGAGATATCCAGCCTCGGGGACTGAACGACTACTTGATTCTCAGAGTTTTCATTGATAAACTGTCGTTGTTGGAAGAGTTGAACCACAGCATGGAAGCCGCTTTAATGAATCCCATTTCTATACATTTAGAGAGGTTCATCCTATAAGTTCTATTACTCCAAGATGCCTGACGAATAGAGGGGAGGAAAGACGGCTCCACGACCAAGAGCTTCTGTTGCTCTTGCAGAGGACTGGGTTCATTTTCAAGCACCTTCATGGCAGCTCACAACCACCTGCAACTCCAGGAGGATCTGATGCCCTGTTCCAGTCTCAGTGGGCATCACACACAAGTTGCACATGTGTGTGTGTGTCTCTACACATGTCAAGGCAGGCAGTGACCCTCAAAGGGGTGAGAAGGAAAACTCAGTTCAGATTGACTTCATAAACCTGGATCAAACTTCAAAGTCTGATGCCAAGCACTTCATTCTCATATTTAAGCATGATATAATTTGGAAAAAAGCCACTAGTGTAACACACTCCCTGGTGCCCAAGGAGACAATAATTACATCATTTCTTCCAATAAAATGGGTTCTATCGATAGGCAACCTGTACTAACTTAAGGGCTTAGGGAAGGATCTGGCCTGATCTTGGTCATACAGATAGCAGAGAGGTCATTTGGGCTATTAGCCACCTCTGGTTTTGGGTGTCGGAAGTTCAGGGAGCTTCTGACTATACAGATAATGTAAGGGTCATTTAGACCATTAGGTATCTCCGGTTCGGGTTGTGGGCTTAAGGGAGCCCCTGGTTATATGAGGGTCATTTAGATTACTGGCTAACTCCCATCCTGATTATAGGAGCTTGACCTGGCCTGGCTGAACAGATATCGCTGATCACCAGGCTAGTAATCACCTCCAATTCTTAGCCTTCTGGACAAACAGCTATATGTCTTTCCCTTTGAAAGGAAAGTCCTGGGTGCTTAAAATCCCTGGTTTCCCTGGAGATCTGTAGGCACAAGGACACATATACATGCCAGACAAACATGCAGACACGTAAAATAAAAATAAATCTTTAAAAATATAAATAAGAAGGCCAGGAGTGGTGGCACACACCTTTAATCACAGCATTTGGGAGGCAGAGGTGGAAGGTTCTCTGTGAGTTTGAGCTCAGCATGATCCACATAGTAAGTTCGAAGATAGCTGCTGTTTGGTTTTTTTTTTTCTCTTTACTTTTTTGTGGGAGCCTGACTCCCAGTTCCCAAATAAATCACAGAGCCTTAACTTGGGTTGTTTCTAACCACTTTTTATTTTTATTAATTTTTTAAAAAAAAACTATCTTTTCTTATTTTACATGCCAAATCCATTTCCCACTCCCCTCCTCCTGCTCTCTCTACTTCCCCCCTACTAACCCCGTCCCATGTTCCCATCCACTGCTCAGAGAGGGTAAGGCTTCCCTTGGGAAGTTAACAAAGTCTAGCACATTCCTTTGAGGCAGGACCAAGGCCCTTCCCACTATATCTAGGCTGAGCAAGGTATCCGTCCAGAGAGATGGGTTCTAAAGAGACAGAACAAACAGTAGGGATAAATCCTGGTCTCACTGCCAGTGGTCCCACAGTGTGCCCCAGCCATACAACTGTCACCCACATTCAGAGTGCGGGGTCCCTCTGTAGACCCCCGCTGAAGAATTGAGCCAGTCACCCTGGCTGAGGAGGGGAAGTACGCTGCTCACCCCCCAGTCCCCAGGTCCCAGAGACGCTCAGATGCAGCGGGGGGTCCAGTCAGGCAGGAACTCACTTCCTTACAGCGTGCAACTTATAAAGCAAAACCCCACACCTCCCAGTACAAGCGGGGAGTTAGCCAATCACATCAGCTGTCACATCCGCATGAGTCCCGGCTCCTATAGCCCCTAATGGGGATCACGAGGGCATCAGGCACTTTATGTCATCTTACCCCATCTTTCGCTCCAATCATCTTTTCATAAACAAGTCAGGTCTCCTGCCGCCTTACTCCCCTTCAGTGCCATCTTGGCTGGGAATATTTTTCGCCGGCTTTGTAATGTCACTGTTATTTGAATTTCGAGCCTTTTTCTTGCTGTCACACTTTTGGTGTACTGTCACGCTTTTTTTCTAACTGTCACTGTTTTGGGCACTAACTTGGTCACTCCAGCCTCCTATGTGCTCAATTCGGCCCCCACAGAGGGCCTAGTTTGGTCCTATGCTGGTTGCCTCACTGTCAGGCTGGAGTTGGAAGACTAGTTCAGGTAAGCTGTTTCAGTGGGGATCCCCATCATGGCCTTGACCTCTTTGTTCATATTCTCACTCCTCCATCTTTTTGATTGGACTTTGGGAGCTCAGCCCAGAGCTCCTCTGTGGCTCTCTGCATCTGCTTCTATCTGTTGCTGGATGTTGGTTCTATGAGGACTTGAATGTGTCCACATCCTTTATTTTTCATTTCCCAAGACAGTGTGTATATCTCTTCTGCTTGTAAAAGGTTTACACATTACAGATAATGCTAGGTTTGTCTGACCATCATCCCTGATATCAGCTTCTTCCCAGGATAGCCAATGTGTTTGTTTTAGCTACTTTCCTATTGCTGTGAAGAGAAGACTTGACCAAAGCAAATTGTAGGGAGTAATTACTTTATTTATTGATTTATTTTTGAGACAGGGTCTTTCTGTGCACCCCTGGCTGGTCTGGAACTCATACTATAGAACAGGCTGGTCTCAAACTCAGAGATCCACCTGTCTCCATCTCCTGTAGAAAGCTACACTTAACTTGGGGCTTGTTTGCAGTTTCATCACGGTGGAGCGTATGACATATGGCAGGCAGGCATGTCGCTGAAGCAGTCGCTGAGTGCTCACATCTGACCCACAAGTTAGAGACTAGGCTTGGACTTTAGAAACCTCCAAGGCTACCCACAGTGACACACCTCCTCCAACAAGGCCACACCTCCTAACCTTTCCTAAACAGTTTACCAACTAGTAAATGAATGAATGAAAATGAACGAATGATTTAAATGTATGCCCTGGCAATGCTGAATGAAGCAGGCATGGGTAGCCCGTATATGGCAGTTCTGTTGATCTTGTCCATATTGGGTCTCATGGTCTAAGTCGATGAGGACGACACCAGATCTCATTACAAATGGTTGTGAGCCACTATGTGGTTGCTGGGAATTGAACTCAGGGCCTTTGGAGAACAGGCAGTGCTCTTAACCTGAGCCATCTCTCCAGCCCCTTACCAACCAACATCCAAATATATGAGCTTGTGGAGGCCATTTTCATTCAAACCAGCATATTAGTCTTCCAGATTTTTAAGGGATATATGTATATATGTGCATATATTCCTGACATATACATGGATATATGGGAATGATTAGAGTACTTAAAATGTTTGTAATGCATATTTTAAAACTGTGTCTGACAAAATAAATAAATGGTTAACATTAGACATCAAAATTATCTTCCAAGCTTTATTTTTATTTATGTAAAAGGTCAAAATAATTTTTCAGAAAAATAAAGACTTATTAATTTTTCATTTTTCCCCATAGTATAACTCGAATAGAAAATGTCACGTCTAAATTACTTTTCAGATAAAGTGCTTACATTTTCCTGATCAATAAGTATTCAAGGAAGACATAACTCGACCATCATTTTTTCCCAATCAACACGATCGCACAGTCATACGCTAATAGAACCCCTGGACTCAGTATGAGATACTAACAGAAGAAAAGCATAGTTACATAATAAAAATGATCATGGTCAACTAGTGAATTATACCAGAAGTACGTAGTGACCCTTCACGAGCAACTCGCTATGGCTGAAGTCTGTGTCGAGCAATCCCTCAGAGGTATAAAATAGCATTGCCACCAGTACAGTTCATGTCACAGAGGTATAGAATAGCTAGCTGACTTTGCCGTTACCTTTCTGCCGCGGGACTACATTTCCCAGACTCCTCGCGTCCAGAACGCCGCTTCGGTTTCGTTTCCTCGCGAGAGTTCGGGGTACTTAGGTCGCCGGAGGGCTGTGTCTGTGGGCGAGTTCCTTAAGCATCCCGCGGAGCAGGTGGTCCCAAAGTCAGGCGCTGCAGGCTGAACCCTGAGATGCACTCCCGTGGAGGTGGGAGTGTCAGGAACGCCTGAAGGGTGTGTCTGTGACTTAGGTATCTCAGCTGGGTGTGCTGCAAGCCTGCCAGCTCTGGGAGCCTGTTGCGACCCTGGTTTGTGGTTGGTGTGATGTGTGATTCCGACGGTGTGTGATTGTGCGCTTGCCTGACTGTGCGCCACTGTTTCTTGACAGTGGTTGTGTCAGCATCATGTGTATCGCGGAGGAAGCGTACTGTTGTAACCAGGTAGTAGGATGTGTGTGTCACTTGGAGGTTGTTAGACGTGCCTGGTATCCTGCGCATAACTGGTTTGGCTGTGTAGACGGGTGTGATGGCAGTGGCGCTGAGATGGTAGTTGCTGTTTTCCGTGGCCTGTGACTTTTGTGGTTTTCCCATCTGGGTGATTGTCTGACGTGTGTGTGTGTGTGTGTGCGTGCGTGCGTGCGTGTGTGTGTGTGTGTGTGTGTGAGAGAGAGAGAGAGAGAGAGAGAGAGAGAGAGAGAGAGAGACTCTGAGGGACTGTATATGCTGTTTTCATGAACGTCAATAAAGTAGAATTACACCCTTGTAAAAGAGTGTCGCTGTCCCCTAATTATGCTTGTTTCTTGTGCATGCTTGGATCCTGTTTAAGTGCTTGGTGTAGCACTAAAGCACGTAATTGTGGCTCTAGCTATATGGCTGTGGAGATTTTATTCCATGTGACTTCATGTGGTCATTAGTATGTTTTGTACCTCTGATCTTACCCTAGTTCGGTAGGGTACAGCGATAAAATTTTGTTTGGAATTCATTTGGAGGCTGAATCTATCGAAGGATCCTGAATTTCTCGTGACTTTGTGTCTCTCCCCAAATCCCTCCTAGAATTTAAGGACTTAGCCTCTGTTTGGCCACAGTGGTTACTCATCCATTCAGACATGGCCAGGATCGATTCAGCTCTGCCATCCCTCCTCATTCCGCCTGGGAAATGGAGTTTTGTTGTTGGTTTCCAGTGCTCCTTGATCTTATAGCCAAGGAAATTGGCAGACAGAAAACCAGAGAATTAAGACTCCGAGTGAAGCTATAAGCCTAGTATTTAGATGAGACTTCGAGATTGGATAGCACCCCTAAGACAGGATGCTAGGAAATGGGTTTCAGGATTGGGAAATAATTGTAGACCTGCTGTGGAGGCTAGAGCCCACGACACTGCCCTCTAGTGGGCAGCTTTAACTCTAGAAATAAATCCAAGCCTAAGACAACTTGACCTTATCAGTTTCGAATACTAAGTCTCTGGACTTCGTATTAGATGAGGGATGGATTGTGGGGTTGGAGGGAGAGGGTGCAATTTAGACTATGACAAGAATGGCATGGCATCTCGGTTCACTCTTTCTCTTAGGGTACAACACAGAAGAGAAAAAAATGACTATTGTATGTTTAGAAGAGAAGTTTGAGGTAAGGAGATACTTGTTTCTTCAGCTGCCTTTATTGTGTCACGACATAATCTTCGCTTTATTGTTGTTTTTATAAATATCTCCAACCTATGTCTTCTCTTATAATGAGGAACAAGGCAATTTATTTGTTTATTTATTTATTATTTTTGAGGCAGGGCCTCACTGTCTGGTTTGAACTTCTTTATATACACCAGACTGGCCCTGAAATCATAGAGACCCGACTTAGAGAGAAAAAGACAGAGACAGAGACAGAGAGAGAGAGAGAGATTTTAGTACTGCTAAAAATAAACTGTATATTTTTATTTTATGTGCATTGGTGTTTTGTCATGGGTATCGTGTCCCCTGGAACTGGAATTACAGACAGTTGTGAGCTGCCATGTGGGTGCTGGGAATTAAACTCAGAACCTCTGGAAGAGCAGTCAGTGCTCTTAACTGTTGAGCTATCTCCCCAGTCCCATAGAGACCCATCTTTCTCTTCCTCCCAAGTTCCGGGACTAAAGACATGCGCTAAGCCAATGGCTATTGACTTTTATAGTTTGAGAGTGATAAAAATGTATAATTGTGATAGATGTTTTCCAGTAGTGCTTAAATTTATAAAGAATGGATTTGATGCTCATGGAATGTAAGAGCATTCTTGTATTGTTTATCTTTCTTTAACATTTGAGGGGTTTTAGCTTTTTAAATTCATGTTTTTATCAACACAGTCTTGTACAGCTCAGACCAGGTCAAACTCTTATCCCAGTCTTCATGTATGTGCTGCCCTGTCTTTGTCTTCTGCTTTGTTTGCTTTTTATCTGTTTATCTAGTAAATAAAGTTTTGTGCTTTTTGTACTTGAATGGATATGTTCCATGTGTGTGTAGGTGCCCAGGGAATCCAGGATAGGACTCTAGAGCTGGAGCTGCAGGCAGGCACAAGCTGCCTGATAAGAGTGCTTGGAACAAAACTGGGATCCTGTGAAAGAGCAGGTTTTGTTTTTAGATGAGGTCTTGTGTAAGCCCAGGTGAGGATCACCTTGAACTCTTGGTCCTCTTGTCTCTACCTCCTAACTCCGCTTTTTAGCTTTTAATTAGAATTTTAAATGAGAAAATATGTAATAAAGCATTATATGCATAGCTCAAAGGTTATTGTATGCTGATCATTCTTCCTGTCTTCAGTTTATAGTCCTTTTCAACTTGACTTTTTCATTAACTCATGAGATGTGCTGTCACTTCTCAAGTGTTCCATAGAGCTGATGCTTCTTATTTCTCTGTGTGACTTGAATCCTTTTAAATTTACTGAGATTTGTTCTCTGACCTACAATTTGGTGCATCTTAGCAAATGTTCCCCGTGCAATCGAAAAGACTGTATTCTGCTGGTGCTGGGAAAGACTGTATTCTGCTTGTGCTAGGTAGAATAAATGTCATCTGATCAGGTAGCTTGATTGTGCTGTTTAAATCTTCTGGCTCTTTACTGATTCCATTTACTGAATTTGTCTCATTTTCTTCCAAGGTGATCCTGGTAAGCCACTTGGGGAAAGCTGACCTCACCATGCCACATTTAGTACACTCGGAAGGCTTTGCAGTCTTCAAAGGGAGTTGAAGCCCTCTTAACCAGTCGTCTCGGGCACCTCTCTTGGGAGGACCCTTTAGTAGGTGTTTCTACCAAGACTTGCTTATCAAAGGGGAAGCTTGAAGGCATTTTATCCCTCCTCTAAAGCAGTTCTCTTGCCTGCTGCTAGCCTTCCCTCCATCTTCCTCTCCTTCATGCTCAGTTCATAAAATGGCAGGAAACTTTCATTCAGTGTTCTCTTGGCATTGAGATCAAGATCCCCCCGCCCCCAGCAGTGTTATTTACTCTCCCCATGCTGGGCTGTGGAGGAAATGGAACAGCGTGGGAGTTGGCACTTTATATGAATAGCAGTATTAGCCCTTTGCTAATACTGAATGGTTAATAGAAGGTTAAAACTTTAGCTGTGATTTCCATGTAGCCGTGCCCCTCCAGGTCCGTCCAGCTCTTGACAGTTGGGTGTAGGTGTTCTCTGTGTGTATCAGTTATGACAAATACTTGATGTAATGTTCTATAAATCTGCTATATTGCTACTGAAACTTGTTTTGCCAACTGATGCTTTTAGTTACTGAATGCAAGATGTTACAATTTCCTTTTAGAAAGTTTGTGTGCGGGTGGGATGGGTGGGTTGGATGCAAGTGTGTGTGTGTGCGCCGTGGAGTGCACAGGACTTCATTCTTGCCTTCCTCTGTATGGGTTCTGAGAACCCAAATCAAGTTGCTGGCCTTGGAAGTACCTTTAGTTGATGAGCTATCTTGCTGGCCCACAATTTCTAACTGTACATTTTTGTTGTTGTAGTTTTGTTTTGCTTTGCTTTTTTGGTTTTTCAAGACAGGGTTTCTCACTAGCTATGGAACCAGTCCTAGCACTCAATCTGTAGACCAGGCTGGCCTTGAACTCACAGATATCTCCTGAGTGGATTGATTAAAGGTGTGTGTGATGGCTGCCCAGCGATTTGTCTCCTCCTTTAGTTCTGATTTTTGCTTCATATATTTGAAACACATTTAGGGTTGCTGTGTAATAAGTTGACTCTAGTGATGTTATTTATTTGTTGGTGGGTTATGAGTTTCACTGGGGTTCCTTCTAGGAACAGGACCTTAGCAGTGGCTGTGTCACTGAAGAAAATGTCTCTCCTTCCTTCCTACGGCAACCATTAACTCTTTTTAACTTTTTTTTTTAACATTTCTTCCCATTTTATTTATTTTTGAAAATTCATGACCCTAAATAAGATGTCGATGTGCCATATGTGGTCATTTAACTTCAGGTAGCATTCATTTTAAGTACCTGTTCCGGCTTTACGTGCTTGGCAGTGCACTGCAGGGATGGGAACTGTGTGTCACTGTATTTCTGGTGGTCCTTGAGGCGTTTTCCTTGCTGTGGTTAGCCTGGCCCCAGGAGGCCTAGATACACCACTAGGCATTGCCGACTGAGGTTCCTGTAACTATTACTGGAGCAGGAGGCACTTGTACTGGAGCTGTGCTGTTCCAGGGACCTGAAGATTTTTCTACTCCACTACCACCTCCGCCTTCTTCCCAGTTATCTCCTGGATCCTCTCGCTTTTCATTACCATCATCTTCCTTTTCACTTATTTGCATCGCCTGAACTCTTAGTCCGCTGTTATCAACCTCTTTTTGCTCAAATTCGTTCCACTCATCTTCATCCTTCGGTATGGCCTTGCAGGCAGGGCTTGCCGGACCTAGTGCAGGAGCCCGATCTCCCGCTGTCACCCAGCCTGGCGCTGGCTGCCTGGCCGCCCAACTGCTCCGCTCCTTCTTCTTGTCCCTCTTGGCGAAGAAGTTGTCCAGGATTGGCTTCTTGGGTCTCAGGGGCAGCGGCAGTTCAGAGCTCTGGGTCAAGGTAGGCTGTGCAAGGCAGGGCGGTCATGGCGCCGCCACTCCCCGGGATGAGGAAGGTGCACACCAACTAATGACAGCATGACATAGGGTGCGGGAGCAACCATTAACTCTTATAGATCCTCAGGGAAGGCTGGGCAATTAATTTTCATTTCTAGCTTTAATCTTATTTTTTATATATAATTAAAGTGTACTTCCTCTAAAGAATACATAGTTGGAACTTGCTTTTTAAATTATCATTCCCCTTTTATTGGAATGTTTAGACTATTGCTTGTATAATTTATTTTAAGCATGCATTGGTGTATGTGTGTGTGTGTGTGTGTGTGTATGTGTGAAAACCTTTCCTGGGGAGATGCAACACACATGTCTACTCACCTCAGGCAGGGAGACCACGACAAAAGGATGGATACCACCAAGTCCAACTTGGTGAATCAGTGAGTTTTATTGGGGTCACCTACAGGAGCAGGAATGACTCAAAGACAGCTGCATCATCAAAGCCCACCAGCCTGGGTGACAGCTCACAGAAGCTGGGAACCGGGAGTATTCACATAGCTGCAGGCAGCTCAACAAGCTGGAGAGTGGCCTTGCCAAGTGCCTTGTTCTTAAACCTCTTCCAGGTAGCTGGGCTGGCTCAGAGTCATCTTCTCAGCTCAGTTTGTCTGAGAGTCTTTTTTGCTTCTTGGCTTGTCTCTTCAGTGGCTTTCCAAATCTGTGAAATACTCAGAGGCTAGCATTACATTATCTATGAAACAAAACCTTCTCCAGAGGATGGGCAGGGCAAGGCGGCACCCCGAACTACCATCCTATGACAAAGGTAGCCTTGGTGAAGCATGCTGAACATCTGTCCCAGAAGTTCGCAGCTAAGAAGATCCTAAGGTCAGACATAAGGCCTAGTACAGCATGGAAAGGCTCCATCCTTTTGTATCAGATCAAGGTGGGATACAAAGCATGGGCAGGAGACGCTAACTTAATTAGTTCTCTCTGAGCCACTGTGTTTCCATATCTGGGAGCCTCCCTATATTTCTCCACACCTGCTAAACTCAGTGGACTTGATTTAATCTGCTTATGCCTACTCACGACCAAAGGTGAACATAGCCCTGCTCTCCCCTGCTGCACCTGCTGGCTCCCTAGGTCAGAGTGACTCTGGCTTGGCATGGTGGCTATTGCCTCCTCAATCACCATACCTGGCTGTTAGGGGAGTTCTGGGATGGGCAAACTGTCTCCACACCAGCATAACTTCTTGCTGGAGAGAAATGAGCCCTCCTTAGCCTGGGAGGATAATTACCCTCCCTGGAACAGCCTTGATTGGCTTCACCTGTGCTGTTCCATCACCAACATTTTCTGTGACCTGCTTCCCGGGTCAGAGCCTCTCAGAAGCTCTGTAACCTGCTCCCCGGGTCAGAGCCTCTCAGAAGTTCTGTGATTTATACCCCGGGTCAGAGCCTCTCAGAAGCTCTGTGACCTGCTGCTGGGGTCAGAGCCTCTCAGAAGCTCTGTGACCTGCTGCTGGGGTCAGAGCCTCTCAGAAGTTCTGTGATTTGTACCCCGGGTCAAAGCCTCTCAGAAGCTCTGTGACCTGCTGCTGGGATGAGAGCCTCTCAG